CCCGGGCGTCCCGCGTGCCCCGCTGGAGCGGCCCGACTGGGAGGAGAAGGCCGGTGAGTGCCGGGCTGCCGGTCCCCGCCCCGGCTGCGTCCCTCGGTCCCGCCCGCGCACCGAGTGGACGCCGCGCGGGACCCTGGCGCGCGGGAACGTTCTCAGAGTCAGGGAGACTCCGAGCAAGTGCGCTTCGTCTCTGAGAGCTCCGCGGGTCCCAGGCGGAACCCGGATCCGCGGAGCGGCGCGAATGCGTGCGCGGGGCCCCTCGGCACGGGCGGCTCCTCAGCCCCTCCGGGTGCAGTCGCTGATCGCCGGCCCGGAGCAGGACGCGGGGCCCGGCGTCCCCTCGCGGCTCCCCGACTCGGGGTCGGAGTTCACGCCCTTCACGGTCGGGCGGAGCGGAAGCCCAGTCACGCGTGAAGCGGGCGCGGGGCGCTCGCGACACCTGCGCGGCCCGTCCCTCCGAGCGCGGTTTCTCTCCGGCTGCTCCCAGGCGGCGTTTGTCCGCGCGGGGTCCCCGGGGCGTGGGCCTGGGTCGCGCGCTTGCGTCGGTACCCGAGAAAGCAGATGTGTGGCGGGAGGTGCGGGGTGACTGCACCTGAGCCCCGTTCGCGGGCGGCTCCGAGCGCGGCACCCTCGTCTTTTCCCACGGTAGCGGCCCATCTGCAGTGTCAGGAGCGGCGCCGCGTTTACAGGAAGAGCTGGCTTATCGCAGAAAGTTTAGAACACTGAAAAGTGGAGTTCAGGGTTCTTTGGTCTGGTTCCTTCACTTCGGCAAGCTGGCGCAAAGACAGGGACTGCACGTCCGCTCTGCGGAAACGGTCCCTCCCCGAAGAGCAAGTAGGAGACGCGGTCGATAGCGGACTGGGGCGAGGCCCGAGGACCCCCTGAGCGCCGCCAGAGAGCGCTAGATACAAATAATAGAGACTGAAAATCACTTCTGTATTTGCAAGAGAAAGCCAATTACCTGAGTGTTGGAGGTTCCATCACTTGTGGTTGTCCCCGACGTTTCTCTTCCAGTGCACCGTGGTAATCCACCCACCTTCACATCTTGCAGACATACAAGGACGTCTGCTTTTAGAATAAGATCAAGAAAATTCCAGAGGGTCTCAGGAAATCTTGAGATACTTCGTATCACTGAGGAAATGTTGCTTAGGTCCACAACATTATAGATAGAGAACCATGCAGGAAGAAAGCCACGGCTTGCTGCCTGGGGCCGGGACTGCCTTGCGTGTGTCTGGTGAGCGGGTGCTGGGAGCCGTTGTCCTCACCCGGCATCTCTCCTGGGTGCTATGCAGAGTGACTATGACACCAGGAGCCTGGCTTGGTCAGGACCGGAAGCGGGAGGTCTGTATCACGGCCAGGGAAGTTCTAGCTTCGTGGACACCCGCACCTCACCCCCACCGTCCCCTCTAATTGTGAAGGAGTTCCCTTGCTAAAGTGGGCTCCCATATGGGGGAGTTCCCACACCCAGGGAGGACTCCACTCAGCAGGACTGTGCCCTCAGACCGGAAGTGCAGAGGCCAACATGACCGGAAGCGTGCTTGCTGTTGGATGTCTGGGCCTTTGTGATAGGAGCTAGTTGTGAAATAACTCTGGGGCCATGGTGGTTCATTTACAGTAACACTTCCAACTGTTGCTGTAGATTTTGCTGGGTGTCGTGCAGCAAAGACAAGAACTCCGTCTGTTCTTACAGGCAGTACTGGTATAACCACCTCCAGACAAGTTCTACTGTCAGACACGGGGTCCAGCACTTTCATTTTTGCTAATTCAGCCTGACTTTTTTTGTTGTTTGTTTTGTTTTTCTTCTGGTACTGGGAATCGAACTCAGGATTTTGAGCTTGCCAGGCAGGAGCTGTGCCGCTGAGCTAAATCCCCAGCCCCGGACTTTGTCTTCCTTAATGGAAAACTTGGATGCTTTCTCCTACGAATATATCTTTGTCACAAAATCAGTGGTTCCTTTGAAGCTCAAAGACATAGTACAGATTTAACTTTCAAAATTTCAAAGTAAGTTCAGGGCAAGGATAGAAATCTTTGGAGCTTTATTTAACTGGACACAAAAGACGTGTGTGTGTGAATGTGAATGTGTGTGTATGTGTGTGCATGCACACTCAGTGTAGTGTAAGATGATTTACATTCCAGTATCTACAGACAATGACACAGCTTAGCCAGTGCTGAGCCAACAGGCTTTCCTCGAGGGGTGCAGGGTGATGTCACCGAGCTGCAGGACGAAGCTGTAGTGTGCACACTGAGCTTTCTGGAGCTGTACGCTGGCCCAGCACGCTCACTTGGGGGTGTGCACCTCGTGTGGCCATCTGCCCGCCAGAGTCCCCCTGGACTTAGGCTGTGCTCGGAAAACCCTTGAGACCCAGCAGGTCAGGGCACTGAGTTGAGCCGCCGTCCGTGCTGTTTTTCTCACTACAAACTCTACAGGGGGCTGCAGCCTCATTTCAAGGACTCTCACACAGCAGGAATGTCACTGTTTTTTTTAATCACAAGCCATTGGTTTGGGGATTATAATCTTCAAACCTAAGCTTAAACTTAGTTTCTATTTTTCAGCTTGTTGCCCTTGTACGTGACTTCTCTGCACATAGTGCGTGTGGGGAGAGCACGTGCCTGGCTGGTTCATTCCCTGAATTCCTCAGCTATGGTCCGCTCTCACCTCCTCTACACAGATGTGACCGTCAGGGTAACTGTCGTGACGAGGTCTCAACAGGGCGCTGGGGACATCCTGTGACTGCAAAATGCTTCCCAGCTGCCCTGTGTTCTGCCCACTCAATGCCAGGACATCCTTGTCCCTCTCCCCTTTTGGGACAGCCAAACGTCTCTCCAGACAGTGCCAAGTGCCCCCTGCAGGGTCGTCTGCCCCGAATGTAGACTTACTGCTCGTGGTGGGCGGCTGCTTGTCTCTTCCCAGTCCGTTTATCCTGCAGTGTCACCTTGGTCATTTCCCCCAGGTTGCCAGTCAAACATTTGTCAGCACAAATTGTGTGTTAAAGAGATTTACCAGAAGTTATTGTGCAGGATAAACATTATTGCCCCTCTCCCCACAAAAGGAATAAATCCCATCTGCCCTTGAAAGTAAAGGTCATGAGACGTGGCTTATGTCACTGAAGAAAAATTTGATTTTTTTGAGAGCGATCACCTTTTCATGTGCAATGAAGCTTGCCAATTAACCACAGTTTGGAGCAGCTCCAGGAGCTCCCTGCTGTCATTCCACGGCTGAGGAGGAGAAAGAGGCTAATGAGGAGGCAGAGACTTCCCCAAGAACCCAGCAGGAGAGGGGTGTCCACCAACCACCTCTAGCCAGCCTCCCGTTCAGTCCCAGGCCAGGGAGCTCAAGGACAGAAATCTCACCCTGAGGAAAAGCTTTGGGGAAATGCAAATAGAGCAGGTGGTGCCTGTCCCTGTCCTTGTGGTGAGCAGCAGGAGGGCAGCCCGGACACTCACACCCTCATGCCACTCCCACCAAGTCCTCGAGTGTCTCCCGTCTTTGCTCCCAGTTCTGCAGTTCAAATGGATTTGTCTGGCTTTCTCGTTTTCCCGAGAATATCGCAGAGTGCCCAGGGGGTACCTGCTCTTATTAGAGTGTGGTGGTGCGCTGTCAAGTTGTCAGCTCCCCGCTGCCTCTCACCCAGCCCAGGCAGGCCCGAAATGCCAGTTCCCACCATGGGGCCCATTGGTGCTCAGGTCCGCTCCAGGCTGGAAAGCACTGGCTCAGAGTCTGGACCCGAGGAGGGGGACACCCTGGTGGCAGGGGCCTCACCACGCAGTCTTCCTGGGCCTGGCCCTCACCATTCCTGGAGCTCTCCAGGCAGAGTCCTGCCACCCACGGCTGTACTTCTCTGTCTCTGCAGAACCCAGACCACCTTTTCTCCATGCTCACTGTCTGGTGCCACCAGCTCCTGGTTTGCTACAGAAAGGCCCGCCAGGACAGAGCAGGGTCAGATGGACAAGGGCCTGTGCTGACTTTTAGTTGGGAAGAAACCTTCTTTTTCCAAAGATGATAATAACAGTAATGCTACTACTATTGCTGGTACTACGGCTACTACCGCTACCAGCCTAAGCACAGCCCAAACAGTGAGCATTCCCTAACAATGACCAAGTGCCGTTTCACACAAGTAGATTGGTTTCCTTTATCTTACAACCCAAAGCACGTCCCATCAGCCCAAAGCAGGGAAGAGGCCCAGTTATTTAGCATCTAACAGTAACGTGCTGAGAGCTGTGGGTAACCCAGGGGAAGGGGCAGATGCCTGCAGAATGCCAGAGCTGGGTTCCCAGGGCTGATGCCAGGGGAAGCTGTGCTTCAGCATGGAGCTGTGTCCACCTGCTATCTGGGAGGTCGCTGCAGCCCACTCTGATGCTCAGCCTATGTCCTCTTCAGAAGACACCTCGCAGTGAGACTAGAGGAAGACCTTCATCATCTCAGCTTTTCTCTTTGGGGTTTAGGAAACTGGTCCTCTCTTGGCTTGTGCAGGCCCAGTGCTCACATGCAGTTGGAGGCGCACATACGTTGTGCCTTGGGATTTAAAAAGTACGAACTAAGCCAACTCGCTGAGCTGTGTTGCACAGCTGCCTTTGTGTAGCCTAACACGCTAGATCTGAGATGGAAAAGTGGCAGCTCGGGGGCTGTGGCCCACCCTTCCCCTCCCACCCATCAAAACAGGCTTTCTCAGGATGCTGGGTAGCAGGGATGATACTGCTGATGGCAGTGAAGAAGATAATTTTTAGAGAGGGAGAAAGCCCTTTGAAGAAGACAGTAAGCCATTCACAGCACTCTATTTCTTCTCCATACCTTCTGCAGAGGGCTGAGGACTCTGAACAGGGCACGGGAAGGTTCTTGATAGGACCCCTGTGGAATATGTGTGTCTGTTGAAATCTGAGGTAATTTGGGCTTTCTCTTACTTTTTGAAAAGAATTAGTTTACCTGAGTGTGTTTTAGACCAGTCTACCCTTAACCAGTATGACATTTCTCTTGGAAATGCTTTGGACTGTGAAATCCAATCAAGTCACAAGAACCCAGATAGATGAGAGGGAAAGCCTAGCCAATAGGAGGTCCACTGTGGACCACAGTGGACACCTTAAGCACATATGTACACATGCATGTGCATGCACGCGTACACACACACACACGCACACAGCCATAAACTGTCCCATGTTGACATCTGGAAAACCTAGAATGTGTCTGAGTGTGCATTTTTCCCTCCGTGTTCCGTTCAGTGATTTAATAATTAATTAGGAAGCAAAGAATGCCAATCATAGTTGATTTCTTTTCAACTATTTTCTGAAAAACGCAGGTATGTTTGAGCTAGTGTTTCTCATCAGTGAAAATGCTTTTAAAGCATCAAAGGATATAGCTGAAGGAACGTTTCCAAACTATAAAAGTGATTACATATGACTGTTACTCTATTAGTAAAATTGATGAAATACCATCTTGAGAGGCCAATTTGGGTTTTATCTGGTCCTTCATCTGTTTTTGTTCCTTTTAAGTCAGAATTTAAATCACAGGATTTGCTGGGTTGGAATACTATACAGGCAGCGACAGCTTACCCAGCGGCCACTTTGGAGGTGTCTCCTTTTCACTGCGGTGTTGTCGACCGCATCATTGCAAGCAGAGGATGAGCGCACGTTGAATTCTCCTCCGCCAACTCTTACGGAGTGGAAGTAGTGCAGGGCTCTTATATTTAAAGACTTCTGGGTTCCTGAGAACCCTGAGATTACTCACCGCTCCCCACTCCTTTGGTTTTAGAGTATGACCTGGTGTCTGCCTACGAAGTTGACCCCAGAGGAGACTACGTGTCCCACGAGATCATGCACCACCAGCGGCGGCGAAGAGCGGTGGCCCTGCAGGGAGGAGGGGACTTCCTGCACCTCCGGGTCAAGGGCGCCACGCACGACTTCCACATGGATCTGAGAGCCTCCAGCCACCTGGTGGCTCCTGGGTTCGTGGTGCAGACACTGGGAAAAGGAGGCACCAAGTCTGTGCAGACCTTCACGCCAGAGGACTTCTGCTTCTATCAAGGCTCCTTGCGGTCTCACAGGAACTCCTCGGTGGCCCTTTCCACCTGCCAAGGTTTGGTGAGTGCAGAAAGCTTGGGTCGTTGGGAGTGAGTGGGGGTATTGATGGGGGAGGAGGCTTACCAGAGGTTTCTCTCAAAATATCTGCAGTTGTTCTGTCGTTACCAGGTGCATGTTTTTGATCTATGAAAACAGGTGGACAAGTAACACTTTCCCAACGTCCAGCACTGCCTACCTAGGCCTATCTGGGAACAGTAGCCCCACCTACCCTTTGGTTGTTGGTCTAGAAGAACCGTTGAAGAGCATTTCCCTTTGAAAGGTGCACCTAAGAACTTGTGGCCAGGTCTGCGTAAATGAGTATCATAAATGTTCCAGTTCATTTTGTGGATCCAGTATGGAAACTAGAGAAATGTCTTCACTGGGAATGGCTGTGTTGGTTATTTGATCAGATGTTTGGAACATTGAGTACTTTACTTTTGTTGCTCTAATCATGATAAGATGCTTGCAAATTAGGGCACTCAGCTGTGCTACCACACTGCTGGCCTTATCAGACTGTTAATCTGTTGGTTCATTTCCCCCTTTCTGAGTATCTGCTTCCGACACTGCCCCTAGATTAGATGTCTGAGGTACCTGCTTTTCAGGGACCCCAGAGTGAGAAGTAGAAAGCTAAACCAAGGCTCTCATGCAAGCTGAAATTGCAATGCATTCGCTTTTCCTTTTCTTGAAATATCTCTATATTTTTAGGGAGGAAAGGCTTAGGAGATAATTAGATTATTGGCCATGAGTTAATCACAGACCCATGTGAGCACAGAATAATTTAACAGGGTGAAAATGTGTGATCAGAACATTTCCAGTTCTTGGTGAAGTTAAAGGTTCACCACATGGGTCTCCGGACATGGATTGCATCTCTAGAAAATGCTTCCAGTTGGTCTCACATTTCTCTTCCGCTTTGGAGAGATTTCAGACCCACAGCTTGTACAAATTGGTACTGTGTGTGACAGTATTGGGTGGTGAAGGCTCATTTCTAACCACTCCCTTAAAATAAATATATGCAAGCACACAATCTTTAAAAAAATATTTTTAAAGGACAGTAGTAATATTCTGCCTTCAGAGGAATTTTTATGAGTTGATCTCATTTCTATTTTGCTTTATAAATGGCTTTTCCTTGCAGGACGTATGCAGGTTGTTGCTAAAGCAGGGTGATGACTGGTGCTCTTGTTAACCATGGAGACAATGTGGCTAATTTCTTCCATGTCCTCTCAATGGGAAGAAAATAAGTGTTCTTTAGTTAGTGGATAAAAATACTTTGTGTAAAGCATTAAATTAAGACATTTCTTCCTTGACATTCTTCCACAAAACCTTAAACCAGACACAATACCATAAACCTGAAATTTCTAAAATGATAGCAACTGAAGTGAAGAAATAATTCCATGAGGCTATAGAGGAAATCAGGTCAGAAATAATCTCTCAGGTAAAAAAAGAAGTGACAATCATAATTAAAGAATTTCTGTAGTAGCAGGTATGCCAGTCCCTTCTGAGTTTGGTATCTTGCATTTATCTGTGGAGACTGGGCAAGGTGCTGCCCATTACCCAGCAGGGGTGGAGGCCATGGAGGACTCTGGTGGGTGTCCCACGGTGATAGAGTTGTGTCCTGCAGTCCGTCCCATGAGTCGCGTTGGCTGGCAGCAGTTTGTGATGTCTAGCTGTCTTTGAACTCGGTGGGAGTTAACAGCCAAAGTTTTAAGTGTACAATTACATGAGAGATAAGGGAATGAAACAGAACAAGAAAACACAAAAAGACTCCTCTGAGCAAAAAACAGTGGAATCTGATATGGTGGTCATGGGGATAGAAATTTGTATGCCTTCCCCATTAATCTTCAAAACACACAAATTCTGGCTTCCCTAATACTTTGTCTGTAGATGGTCATTGCAAACATAACCTCCAGCAGCCCTCAGAGGAAGAGATTTGGTGGCGGTTGGCCTAAGAGAAGCAAACCAAAGGCATTTTAAAGAGAAAGGAAACATCAGAACCCTCTGTCTGGAGCCAGATAATGACATTATTGAATGGGGACCTTAAGTGGCTGTCAGGTTTGTTATTTCTTCCCTGAAGACACACCCCTCATCTTTCACATCTGTTAACATATGAAGAAAAATCCTGTCTCTTCTACAGTGAGGAATGACTCCTTTTCCTCATTGTTGTCATTTTTGGCTCCCTGAGATTCTAACTGTAGTCTAACATAGATCTCAGCTGAGGGTTTTTGTTGTTAATTTTCTGTTCTTATCTCTTATGTTGCTTTTATGTTGTTGTTCAGGGTCTCACATACGCCTGGTGTTGTAGTCCCGGGCTTATAAGGGGAAACAAAACGGGAGACATGATTTATAGAATTATTTTATAATAGTCACCCAAAAAATCATACACAAAAAGAATTCAGGAAATCTGTCCACACACTAAAAGCCAAAGAATCTAGCTGAGGGCCTGGATCCCATTGTAATGTTCTGTATGAGTCCAGCTGAAGACCTAGAGCCCCTTACAGTGCCCCCCACAAGTCCAGCTGGAGGCTAAGAGCCCATGACAATGTCTCATACAAGTCTGTTTCAAGGATCTGCACTTGGAAGGCCCAAAGGTCAGTGGTGGAAGCTAGAAGGGCTGGGGATTTAGCTCAGTGGCACAGCACCTGCCTGGCAAGCACAAGGTTGTGAGTTCGATTCCTGGTACCTAAAAAAAAAAAAAACCAAAAAAAAAAAAAGAAGCTAGAAAGTCTGTGACAGCAGGACGAAGGCTCTGAGCTAGCAGGCTGAGGGATCTACACTGGAGCCAGGAAGCAATGCTCAAAGTAAGAACCAGAGCTCCCCCAAATAGTACCGTAGCCATCCTCAGCAACAGTGAAGTCACAAACTCCTCCGATGATGAGAACAGCTGAGTTCCCATCAGGAAAGCAAATATGACAAGCTTCTCCAGGAGACTGAGCAGTGCACCGTCTTCCCTTCCAGAGCCAGGAATCGCTGCTCAAAGTGAAGACCAGAGCTCCTCCAAAGTGAACCGAAATCATTCTCAGCAACAGTAAGGTCCTGACCTCCTGTGATGAAAAGAACTGCTGAGTTTATCAGGAAAGCCAGCATAACAAGCTCCTCCAAGAGAACCAACAGCTCCTTACAGCTTCCCAACAGCTTCTAAACTTCTTCCTCTCCACTTCTTCCTTTAATGCTGTGGGCAGCAATCCTCAGTTGGGCCTCCCACACACAGCACCACGCTGGTTCAGTTCAGCTGGGTGTTACAAGTTGCCCACTAGTTGTCAACCTACCACATCTGGTAATTTCTCTACTATTGAGCTACACCTGAGCTCTCAGGTGAGCTTTCTTACAAGTTGGACTACATTGGCCCAGCTCTCTCAATCGAGTTAGGAGTCAGTGGAATTTTTTGCCCTATTCTTGGTATCAAGTGCTGCCTGATATGCATTAAGTTTTTGCAAATGAGAAAGCTTCACTGCAAGGCCAGCTGGTGAGGAGGGCAGGAGCTTTGAGTTCAGATCCTGCCATGATTGGTGAGGAGAAGGGTATTTACAGGAAGGACAGGGGAGAGGTGCTTGATGGTGGGAAGTGTGCAGCCTTTAGGGGCCTTTGCGCCAGTACAGACAGCTGCCATGCCTCTTCACAGGTCCTGTTTCTTTCAGGGAGCTTTGAGCTTATGACATCAAAATGTCATGACAGAAAAAGCGAATTTCTTCTGCGTATTGCTATTCTTCAAAAATCAGTCCAAACTACCCATGAGTGAATTCTTCTCCTGAGAGACAATTCAAGAACTTCGTTAGTGAAGAAACTATGTGTAGGTGTGTACTCAGCCACTCTGTTCTCACCTGCACACCTTGGCAGAGCCCAGGGTGAGCACAGGGATGACAGCATCCTGTCTGGTGGGAAAAGATCCATTTCATCCCTATGATGAGAGCATTACTTAACTCTAGAAATATATTACCTAAGCAGTATGGCAGCTGGTAAGCAGAGAAAGAAGGGAGGAGATAGAGCGTGCATACGTGCTTCCTGGCCACACCCCCAGTGACCCTCCTCTTCCAACCAAGCCCTCTTCAGCCACGAACTCTTCTGTGGATGAGTTCACTGATGAAATAGCCCCTGTATCCAGTCACCCTCCAGACAGGCGACCTTTAAATATGCAAGGCTAGCAGTGTCCCCAAGGATTGGTGGGAGGAACACTGTAAAAATCAGTCGGTGGTATTTATGTTGTTGTTTAGGGCCTCCTGTATATTCATGAAGAAAAAGGCAAGGAGAAAGCAAGCACTGCCTTTAGACTTCAGCGTCACAGTAATGCTGTGAATAATGAGGGTCCTTCAGAATTGTATTTTGCCAGAGCCTGCCAGCCCTGCGCTCCAGGAGAGTGTTTTGGAGAAGCAGGAAGTGGGTGATTTCACTTGCATGTGGGGAGACAAGGGGAAATACAGACATGGGGAGGCCCGGAGGAGCTCCTTGGATGGGCTGAGAACGTCCAACAATACCAAGTCCACACACGTCTGCATAGTGAAGCTTTGTGGTCATAAACAGAGAAGACACCAACAGTATCCATTAGATGTCTTCCAAATTGACATCACATATCTGTTGCAATCACTGCTCATGAGCACAGATGTGTGTCCCTCAGGAGGGGCTTTCTAACACACAAAATGAAAAGCATTATAAACCCGGGGATATAGCTCAGTGGCGTAAGTGCCTACCTAGCAAGCGCAAGGTCCTGAGTTTAATTCCTGGCACCAAAAAAACAAAGGAAAAGCATTGTAAAGGTGAAAACAGAAGGTTAAAAAATTCTGTTAGATAACAGAAATGTTGAGCAGATAGACTTTCTGGACTGGTGGCAGTGATGATTACAGTAGCAGAAGGAACAGTATTAACTTAGTGAATTTGCGTGCCAACTCTCCTGTGAATAGCTTCATGTTTGCTCTCTCAGTCTGGTGATGTCATCAATATTACTCTCTTTGAAAGAAGTTTCGTTGAGGCATAATTCACGCAGCAGTGTTTCTCTTATCTGAAATGTTCAGTTCTGTGGGGTTGAGTACAGA